GTTGCCAAATCGAAAGTGATTTATAATTCTGTTTTAATTCGTTCAAATATTAAGGCAATTAAGCCTCGTCGGCATTCGCCTATAGTGCGAAGCCCACCCTGAAATATTTCACGTGATGCCGGTGGAAATGTGGAAATTTCATATCGGCAATGGAAAATATTAATTCGACGAGTTAATGGCGCGTTCACACCGCCGCCGAGCCCATATGCCACTTGATTACCGAAATTAGATCGGGAATAAATGGGTGTCGTTAGCGCCCTGTGGGGGAGGGGAGGTGCGACGCCACTGATTAGTTATCGTAGCGGGGAATTCCTGAGAAATGGATATAGGTTTTTCTCCTTCGGCCTGGCGCATGGCGTGGTGATGACATATGTGTGTGGCGCCTTGTTATATCTATTAATATTTTTAATTAAAAAATACGGGAGACCCTCGTTTATAACGTCGTTTCGCATTTTTGACACTACTGACTGCTCACTTATACGCGGTTTTATTAATTTCATACTAAGTAAGCAAAGTATTTTAAGTTTACGTCTTCTTTTTGCTCGAGGGGTGTCTCACTGGGGAACAAAAAATGTGCTTGTACTGCTACAATATCATTACAATGACTGCGATGAAGACTGCCTATATTTGCCATATAATTATAATCGACTGATGTCAACGACTGCGCCAACCAAAAGAGATTTATCGTTGAAACATTATGTCATCGAGCAATGAAATGACGAGATTAATTCAGAGAAGAATCTCTGAATTCTGAATTAAGTAATATTAAAACCGATTTGCTTCAGAATGGTTAGTCTGCAAAATCTCTCGACAATATTATATCCAATTTCAAGTCTGACTCATTGGTGCACCAGTCTGAGAAGGATGCTCTCTCCCTCTCTCTGGACGATTCCCTATGTGAAAGGAACATCGGGAAAGATCAGGCAATAGCCAAACAGTATGAAATTAAACTGTTTTTAGATCTGGGGTTATACTCTAAGAAGTATCCTAACAAAAACAAAACTGGAATCATCAAAATAAGAGAAAGAGTGCATCTACCTTGCGAGTGCGGTGAATCGTATATAGGAGAGACAAAAACCCTCATAGGAAAAAGCGCAAATTTAAAGAGGCCGTATTTATTTTTAACAATAACAAAATCTTTGGCAATCCAAGTATGGAAAATTCAACAACGCTCCAATGCAGGTATTCTCAGTGGACAAACTTATGCTTGACTGCACTCAACTTCCTCAATGGTGAATGCTCGGCTCTAAATTTTAGGATTTAGATTAGTTCACACTTGATAACTGCCAATGGTATTGCTAACCGAAAAGTTGTGTAAGCAAAATAAATAAAGACAATGGAAGTCCGAAATTCTTTTAGATCCAATACTTGGTCTACCACATTTAAAGTAACGTTAATCATTTTGTTTTACTAGAAAAATACCACTGAAAAATTGGTTTTCGTATATAGATTCAACGCAGCGCTATTTAAAAAAAATAGAACTTTTTTACTTTGCAGTCATTGTGTCATTTTAAACGTCGATCATACTCTTTTCTTAATATTTTTATTCAAAGTGCCAGCCATGTATTCCAGCAATTGAAGTAGATAATATACAAGAGATTCTAAAATAGGTTGTTATTTTTACTATGACTTTTTTTCGACAAAATTTTGATTATTTTTTTTCTTTCTTAAATTTGGTTGCCCAGACTTGGTATTCAGACTTCATTCACTTAATATTCACAAAACAAAAACGAAACAAAAACAACAATACGCCTACGAATACAAATTATAGGAAAATGAAGCGAAAAAAGAGTTGGGAAAAAAACTCGAAAAAGCGACAATAAAAAAACTTTTCAGCTCGAAGAAATTGGAGTTTAAAAATTTACATTTCTATTTACCTACCCCTTTCTTTTCAGTTTTGCTGTACGCTGAACCTGCCACCAGCGACGTGCATATAATGTAGGCAAAAAGGCGTTGCCTTAAAGCAATAAGCATTTTTATCTAATATTTATTATATACTGCAATAACTGGAAAGCGAATGACCTCTTACTAATGAAAAAGCAAACAATCAAGCTACAAAAACAGCGACACTCACTGACTGGACCAGAGCCATTCTGTTTTCCAAGTTTTTTGACAACTTAAAGCGGAACTCAAGAATCTGGAAGACTCTATCGGTAACCTGGCATGAGAACCTTCCAACGGTCTAAGACACTCGAAGAAATTTCTTAGAACTTACGGTCGATAAAAATCAAAGATTTTCCTTGATTCATTTTAGAACAATCTTCGGACTGTCACAGGTTTTTTTAACAGGACACCTTCTCCTCAATGGACACCTCAGCAGATTGAAGCTAAGGAAAAACGGCGAATGCAGATTCTGTGGGGAAAATGGGGAAACACCAAACGACAACCATTCGTACCATAAACTTTGATACGGCTGATGCTGATGCTGATGCTGGAGTTGGAGAACTAACCTCTGTAAAAAGTCCTGAGACTGTATGATGAGTTATAACTCAAGAAAGGGGAATATAGATTTATAACGTCGCGTCGCGGTGATTAACTTCCCCCTTCCCATATTCTATAAGGCCAATGTGCAAGAAAGAGATGGAATAAGGAAGTAATGTGTAATTTAGGCCTGTATTTATAGTCGAGTCTCAAACGAGACCCAGTTCGAGACGCCCTACTATAAATACGGGTCTTAGTTTAGTCGGCGTCGACCGCTGTCCTGCGCAGTGATGCCAAATCTAATTTTTCTCTAAATTTAAATTAAAAAATAATTGTATTCATTACTTACGCTATTTTTATTTTATTGTTTTGTCAATTTTTGCCTATCCTGTTTTGATTTGCACAGCACGCCACTGCCAGTCAGGCAAGTCTTTCCCACAGTAAATTACGGATAAAAACGTGAAATTTTCATACCTTTTTAATTTGTTTTGTGCGTAGCCGCTAGCGAAAAGTCGAAAAAAAGTTTTATACGCTTTTAAGGGGCTACAGCGAATTTTTTATTTTGTCGGTCGGTGTATAAAAATACAATATCTCGACAGGCTTGAAGCTTGGAATTGTAAAGGCTTTATTTTAGGCATTTTTTCTGTTATGAAATACTTGATATATTAATATTAGTAAGTAAAAGAAAAAATACATAAAGTAAAAGAAAAAATAAATTTATTTTTTTCTTGGTTTCAAATCAATTAAAAAAATATCAAAAATATTTTGGGCAAAATATCGTGTATATTTTTGCCACTTCAGGCTTGCCACACTTTCACCCTGTATATTGTTAAAATAAACCTTATCACAACAAGACTTATATAATAAAAAGGGTATTTTTATCCCACCAGTATAATAAAAACCTCATATAAGGAAAACATCACAAACAGTTTTTCCGTTTTTTTTTAAACTCATTTATTTAGCTAAGTATATGTTATCGATGTAATGATGCCCAGTCAGTAACAAAATTATCATCATCATCAACCAGCCTGATGTGTCCACTGCTAGACGTAGATTCTTTCCTATTCCAAATTTCCCTGAATTCTTTCCACTCTTCTCGGCCCTGTGCCACTTGGATCCAGTTTCCTCTAAATATCTTTAAGTCATCTGACCATCTTTTCAGAGGCCTCTGCTTCTGAAAGCATCCTGTCTTGGCCGCCATTCTAGTCTTAGGTTGGTCCATCTATCGTCCGTTCTTCCGGCAACATGCCGAGCCCAGTTCCATTTGAGTTTTTTACAACTGTATTTGGTATCTTGTCTCTTAGAGATATACCAAGCATTGTTCTTTCTATAGCTCGTTGGGCTACATGGATTTTTTAAGTACTGACATAACGCACTGATGGAACACCTTCCTCTTTAAGCACATTGGTAGATCTGATTTTAATACATATCTTAGTTTGTCGAATGCTGCCCATGTTAGTCCTATACTTCTTTGTATCTCGTGTGTCTGGTTGTCGCGACCAATTGTTATTTCGTGTCAGTCCAGATATTTATATGAACATACTTGTTCTATATTTTGCTTCGTCCACCGAGACATTTCCACTAATAACAAAATTGGTCATTAGTTTTGTTTTTGAATAATTTATGTATAGTCCAATTTGATCTGACGCCCGTTTAAGTGTTTCTAGCATATTTTGTGCTTCGTGTATTTTTTATCTGTAATTAGCACTAATTCATCAGCAAAACGCTAGTTATTGCGCAATTTCTCCGTTAATATTAAGAGTCCATTTCACTAGTCCGAAAAGTAGCAAAATAAGCGTTCGGCATTTAACGTTTTATGTAAAACTGGCTAGGTATTTTTACATAAATGAAGAAGGAAATTAAAGATAAAGGATTATACTATATCCGTATTGTAGTACATTTTTAGACAAAGATATTGATGGTCAAACATCAACAAAATATTCCTTATGTTTGGACTTAATTTTCTCGAAAATAAATACATAATTTAAAAATTTAAAATTCCGTTACAATACGGAAATAGATTGAAGTTTCGTGATTACAGTGATATATAATTTATATGGTGTAACAAATTGCTCGCTATTTTATGGTAAATGCTGAAGCCCTGAAAACTTTAATTAAGCCTTAATCAAAGCACGTGTGTTTGGAATTTTGGGTGTGGCTCAACACGACAAGATCGGGCTAAGCCTTAGGCAGATTTCTGAAATATAATATATATTTCCTTCGGCCACACTTTACCCGACCCCTTAGAGCGACCCGAAAGTACAGCGTAATAGACTCTTAATACCCACTTTCTCCCAGTTTAGCCTTTGAACATATATGTGCTATGAATAATTTGGGGGAAATTTCCTCCAAACCAAATTATGCCAGCAGTGACTAAACTAAACAAAAATAGAATCATTTTCCCCAAACAAAATTATGCCATTGACTAAACTAAATAAAAATATAATCAGTTTATAAGTGATTTAGAATATATTAGTTTATTCTTTATTTAGTTTCTTTTTTTTTTAATACTATGAAACTTTTTGAACAGAACTGAGTATTGGATATTATGTTCTAACCTAATTTTTTTTTTGTTACAGATTGACCCCAAAGTAGCATTCCCTAGAAGAGCACATCCAAAGGTAAGTTAGCATTTTTTATTATTAATTAACAGAAAAAAATACTATACTGTGTACTATTTTTTTGTTGTGTCCCGGATTGTCTTTACAAGAGAAACGATTTTTTTATTAACATTTTGAGAAAAATGTATCCTTTATAAGAAAATTTGCTTCCTGTAAAATGGTTAATCCGTTTTATCATTTTCAAAATTTGAATACGATTTTGTAGAAAAATAAAAGAATACGGTTGAATGTTTTCTATATCCTAAAAATCAAAACGCGTTTCTATGGTAATATCATATCGTTTTCATTCTTTCATAGATGGTGATTATTCTTTTTATATAACGTCATATTTTTTGTTGTATAATGTTAAAGAAGCCCAACAATTAAGCCGGGACCCCATTAGTTCACACGCCACGCGACGCCACGCTATTCCACGTGAGCCCATGTGTTGCGACTTGCGAAAGAGTGTACACATGAGGTCTGGGTCAGAGGACAGACGTGTGATAGCGTGGGATGGCGTGACGCGGGGTGGCGTGTTGCCTAGTGTGTACGCAATACATTTAATTAAATGAAAAAACATAAGCACAGATCTTCATGATGTGGGGTGGCATGACGTAGCGTGGCGTGGCGTGGCGTGTTGGCTAATGGGGTCTCGGCATTATTCAGTTCAATGTTATTGAAAGGGTGATACAAGTTATCGGAAAGGGTGATAGGTTAACTTATATTATTCTTATTTTGTATAAGATAATAACTACTTTTTATACCTATTTCATCAACACGAAATACTGTTGTTTATTTATAGCCTTTAATAGTCGAACTGTAGTCCTTCGAAAAAGATTGATTACTCGGGGGGTAAAAAAGTGAAATTGGAGGGCGGGGGTAACGTGGCCAAAAACGCCAACTCACCCTTCATTCTTATTCATTGGCCCTTCTTCCACGCTTGACCTTTATTTATAAGGTAAGAATCTAATTGGATTTTCGAGCACAGGCGGATGCATAGAATTCCGCCGTATAATATATAACAGGAAGTCTTGTAAAATACGCCAATAAGTTTTGTATTCGTTTTTCTTTATCTAGTATTTTTATCAAGTGTTTTAAAAGAGTAGGAAATAAATAGATACACATTATTTATTATAACGTTCCAAATACTATAAATAGTTATTAACGTAATAAGGCCGATAAACAACAAATAACGGCCGGGCTGAAGTTTGTGATCCGAGGCGATAGCCGAGGATCATAAGCAGCCAAGGCCGTTATTTGTTATCGGCCGTGTTGCGTTCTAGATTTTTCGTCATACTGCAGATTTTTTAGAGCAATAAACACTACTATTTAATAACAAATTTTATTGAACAATAACACAAGTAAGGATAAAAATACATAATGTCTTATACTAAAATTCATTTTTCATGATAATGAACATGGAAATTAAAAGTGCACTTGTTGTTCTTAGAAATCTGTGTAATCCTTCCCAGGGATTACAGATTTTATAGAAGAAGATGATGCTACTGAAGAATGGCAAATATTTGTATCCACTAAAGACACATTATTTTGGAGCTATCATGAAAAAGTTGATTTGTTATTTTCATTCTTTTTTGAAACTGATTTTTCTATGTAAGTTTCTGCCACTCGTTGAAGACTCCCATCCTCCTAGCTCCCTTTAGCGATAGTAAATCACCCACCATTTTCGGCGAGCATGGTTGCTGATGATCTACGAAATGAATGCCCTGTATAACGTTCTGGATTCTCCAAGTTCAAAAATTTTGCAATTTTCTGCGGTACGCTCCCGATGGTATGTATACCGACGATTTGCTTAACACACTTGCCTTTCTTGTAACCAATGAAAAATTTTGGATTGTCAAAGTTACGAGGACGCAGGTTGATGTATTTTTTGTATAAACCATAGGCATCAAACGGAAGGCCCGTTTTGGAATAAGAAATTTCTATCTTTTCTTATTTTTAGTATTTCTTAATGAGACAAGAATATTTTCTCCGAATCTTCGAAATCATCAACTGTGAGTGACCAAAGCTCGCTGCGCCTACAAGCTCAAGAATACCAAGCACCAATACAATTTTTTCGAGTAACCAGGTGTAATCATCGGCATCCAGTAGAAATTATTTATGTCATTCTCCGACAGAACTTTGGCTTTTTGGTGAATAACCTTCGTTTTGCGCCTCAGAAACATGAACAGTTTACCAAATCTATGAACAAATATAATTTAGATGAGTATGATTAAATATCGAAGAATATAATGGCTTTTTACCTTGATATGTCGATGTTTTCATATACTCTCAACGCAAAGCTTCAGCATGGATATCTTTGTCCACAGTGATGTAGGAGAATACATTTCAGACATTCTTTTAGCATAAGCCAGCAATACCGCTTCATTTACGCTGTTTATACTTCTATCCTGCCGCCACTTCAAAAAATTGTCATATTCCTGCTGATATCTCTCTCTGGTTATAGTCGGAAGTATAATTTTGAGTAGCCGCAGCCGCTTCCTCCTGTATTTCCAACGGAATTTCTCGCGACATCTCGCTATGGTCTATTTTCCCAATTTTTGAAAAGTCCAACTGACAATAAATAGTCATTGTTGCAGGTGACAGACGTTACGATTACCTTAGAAACTTAACGGCCGCCGGCCGTTATGATAACGTCCGGCGGACGTTATATGCATCTTTTCCATTCTGATTTTGCTTATGTTATAATAATATAACAATATAGTATGACGAAAAATATTTAAAAGTCGTACCTTGTATGTAATTATATATCGAGAAACTATGGTTTCGCTCGTTGAATTTGACACTTTATGTCAGTTTAATAAGTGCTTTACTTTTATGCCTAGGTTAAAACGACTTTTTTATATTGTCAATCACGTCGCAAAAATTAATACTTTTGTGAAGTTTGCAAAAAAATAGCATTTTCTATTCGGAGTAAAAATGACTTTTTCAGCCTCGCCTGTATGTCAAACGTACAGGCTTGCCACAAAATTATCATTTTTACTCCTAATATATAATATTTTATTTTCTATTCAGTTTTTTTTTGTTTCTAAATCATTTAATTTGATTTAATGTTTTTAATTTTAACGAACGATTTTAACCTATTCTGTAAATAAATATTTAAAACAACGAGTACCTATACTGATTAAAACAGTTTAATCTGTTTGATGCCGGAAATTCTACGGCTTTCCTGCCTTTTACTGGATTAATTTTAAATATTAGCGCCAATATAAATAAAGCTTAAACTAAGCAGATTCGTTTATATGCTAAACGGAATGTGAGATCTGATGCGTGCTCATTAAATCAGCCGGATTATAGATTTAATTAGGTTATAGATCGGCAATTTTTGATCGATTTAATTTAATCATATTAAATGGCATTGTCAAAAATGTTTAATTACATTACACCATTTAGATATCAAGGATGCAGAGATGCCATCTCGTGGGGAATTTCCCGATTTGTGGGAAATTTCGAGATCCAGATTGAAAAGGGAAATTTTAACCCAAAACACCATATTCGTAGGAAATTCTAATTTCATGTATTATTCGTAAAAAAATAGTTATCGTATAGGTATACATTTCTCAGCAAAGTGAGTAAATTCATACCAGCATTAACGCAACTACATAAATACACATTTTCGGTTGACATCAGATTTATTCCTGTACCCTCTCCCCTCGAATACATGGTGATTTTTTTTAAAGAAGTGCAAATATTTTCAGGGGTGGTATATTTCGATCCCAGGAATACGCCTATGAGGTTTTTTCGCGCAAAAAAAAATTGTATACATATGTGTTTCGAAATTTGTATAGAAAATTTTAAAATTTTCATTTAAAAAACATAATATCTGATTGTGTTGCATACAGGGTGTCCCAGAAATAAGTGCAAGTATTTTAACTGGTAGTATAGTTCAAGCACAGAAACACGCCTATGAGGTTTTTTTCGCGAAAAAAAAATTGAAAGTTCGAAATTTTTTGAAAAATTTTTTGGAAATTTTTTTCGTTTTTAGGTAAAAAACATAATTTCTTGATAGTATGGCAACATAGGTATTAGATTAAATTTACAAGAAAGAAATTCCAGAAAAGATACAGTGAGTCTCAACATTTTAGCAAAATTGCCGTTTTTTTTGGAGTTATTTGAAAAACGAGAAAATAAGTTTCTTTTATCGAGATTTACCACCCCTTAAAATATTTGCACTTATTTCTGGGTCACCCTGTATTATGGTGCGTTTAGAGTTGAGCACGCACGAGCTGAGCGTGCGCGCACGGCATTCGTTCGCGCTCTGGGCTCCGTTCAAATTAAAAACTTATTTTTCGACGAATGAAGTGATCCATTTGTGCGCGCACAGCAGAGTTGTGTTGGCGAAAATAATGGACGACCAAGCCATGCACAGCTTAATTATTAAAACGGAGAAAAATCGAAAACATCGTCGCTGGTGGCAAACCCAACTTTTTATAAATCGATATAATTTACTGCAATAACGTAATGTCTAAGGAGGGCTATGATAAGTTCAAAAACTTTACAGGAATGACCAGACCCAACTTTGAATATTTACAAAATTTAATAACACCAAAAATTTCGAACAAAAGATACATTTTATGGTGCGTTTAGACTTGAGCACGCACGAGCTGAGCGTGCGCGCACGGCATTCGTTCGCGCTCTCGGCTCTGTTCAAATTAAAAACTTATTTTTCGACTAATGAAGTGATCCATTTGTGCGCGCACAGCAGAGTTGTGTTGGCGAAAATAATGGACGACCAAGAAATAGTCGAGGCTGCAGTCATTGTTATGCACAGCTTAATTATTAAAAAGAACAAAAATTGAAAACATCGTCGCTGGTGGCAAACCCAAATTTTTAGAAATTGATATAATTTACTGCAACAACGTAGTGTCTAAGGAGGGCTATGATAAGTTCAAAAACTTTACAAGAATGACCAGACCCGACTTTGAATATTTACAAAATTTAATAACACCAAAAATTACGAACAAAAATACGAATTTTAGAATAGCAATTTCATTAATATCGAC